CAGTGACCCTCTCCCACCTGGAATCCAAACCCTCCTATGGAACCAATGTGACTGCATACTCAGTCCTGCTGGGATTTCTATCAATCCCAGTTCTTCTCAAATCAACCAACTGCTCCAAAAAATCCTGCTAAATAAGACTGTAGTTCAGACCAAACTCACTGCCAAATGGAATCACGTTCCCCATTTCCTGAGAGCTCAAATGCTGGCCCAAGATTTTCTGTATTTACAATGAACTGGGGATTTATTTTATGTGTTGTAATATTAAGACTGAGATAAATGATGGGCAGGCTCAGTGGATTCTGAGAATCCCTATAAGAATTGAACTTACTGTTAAGAAGAATCCCTAATATTTGGCCAGATCCTAATAACAAATTTGCTTTCTGGTAGCAGATAAATCTTGCAGACCCCAGTTAGTTTGCAGTGCATTACAGCTGGCTTTTCCCAAATCTGACCAGAGGTGACTCAAAGAGCCAATGGGTCTCTCCCCAAAGTCAACCTGCCAAATAGCTCATACAGTGGTTCCACCTAGTTGACCACCTTTCCTTCTATTTAATGATTTCATAAGTTTCCTTAGTATTTATGAAAAGAAAACATGCCTGTCAAGGAAGCTAGCATTATTTTCGAATCCTGGCCCTGCTATCTGTGCAATCTTTGAAACCCAAACTTTTTGAAAGCCAAACTGACATCTCTGATTATAGGATGGATGATCATGGGATTTAGAGCCAAAAGGTTCATTAGAGATAAAGAGACACCTGTTGGCACAGTAGATGGAGTACTGGGCCCAGAGTCAGGAAGACCTGAGTTCCAATCCAGCCTAAGACAATTAGCTAGCTGTGACCCTGAACGTGACCTCTGTTTGCCTCAATCTTATATAACATCCCTGATCGCCCTGGTTACTGTGAGGATCAAATAAGATAAGATGGGTAAAGTGCTTAGCACAGTGTCAGGCACATGGCGGGTGCCTTGGACCTCTTCCTTTCCCCTCAGAGGAATCTAACCCCCTGGTTTTTATAGATGCCCAGACATTTGAGTGGCTTCCCCAAGGTCACATAGGTTTGCCAAAACTATTAAAATCCATTCAATCTGTAGCAACCTATAAGAAACTAGACAGCCAACATAGATTTGAACTGACCTTAACTCTAAAACCAGCTACCACTGGAACTTAAAAAGATTCAGAATAAATGCTTATCTTAAATAAATTGGTATGTCTAGAATAGAATCCATCCCCTTTTTGCCCACATCCATCATCCTTCTCCTCTACAACTTTTTTGCAGCCTTGAGGTCCTCCTCAGCCCTTTACTCTCGGTCACCTCCCCACATCTACCCAGTTGCCAAGTCTTAGCAATTTTACCTTCACAACACCTCTCACATAGGTCCCCTCTTTTCTGTACTCATTCAACTCCAACTACCTCTGTCTGGAATATTACAATAGGCTACAAACTAGGCTCCTTACCTCCAAATTCCTCCCTCTTCAATCCGTCTTGTACATGTCAAGTTAGGAGACTGAGCACCGGGTTCTAGGTGTTCCTAGCCAAGGTGGACAGAGTGTATGGTGGGAATTAAGGGATAAGAAGACTGTAAAAGTAGGAAGAGCTTTAAGGTGTTTATTGAATAAAAGGGATGTGCAATAGGACGGTCCATCTGGTGGCTGAATGGAGGATGGAGTGGAGTGGGGAGAGACTGAGGCATGCAGACCCGCCAGTGGCTACTGCAATAGTCCAGGTATGAGTGGATGGGGGCCTGCACCAAGGGGTGGCAGTGTTGAAGGAGAGAAGGGGGCATATAAGAGAGATGTTATGAAGATAGAAACAAGATTTGTCCATTGATTTGCTAGAGAGGGTACAAGTGAAGAATGGAGGATGATATATCTAGGTTGGAAGCCTACATGACTGGGTGATGGTGGTGCCTTCAACAACATAATGAGTTCAATTTTGGACATGGTGAATTTAAAAGTCTACTTGACATCCAGCTGTGAAACTGGAGGCCAGGGTAGAGGTTAGGGCTGGTAAGTAGATCTGAGAATCACCTGAATCCATGGGAACTGATGAGATCACAGAGTTTAAAAAAACAAACAAAAAAACCAGACCTTCCAAAAACACAGGTCTGATAATCCCTTTATTCCCGAGTAAACTCCAGAGGCTTCCTGTTACCATTGGGATCAAATACGAACTCTTCTCTTTGGTATTTAAAGCCCTTCACAACCTGGCTCCAATCTCTCTTTCCATGCATATTACATATTACCACCCATACGCCACAAAGGGCAACCATCTCTTTACTATCAAGGACAGTGGCGTGATCTCATTTAGACTTTAAAATCAGAGGCCCAGATGGGCTAAATGAGGAAAGGGAAACAGCCCTGAAGAAAGCCTGTATGAGGCCACAGCTAGTCTAGACCAAGCCCACAGAGAGGAGGACAGTGAGGGACAGATGCCCAAAGCACCTGAAAGTGGGGGAGGAGATCACTTAGAATACGTTTCCAACCTGCTGGTCCAAAGGGCAGTGGAAAGAATCCCATCAACTGTTTGCCCATTCAGCTAACTCACTTTCCTTTCTCTACCCAGTTTGTATAAGAATCACTTAAACGTGCATTTGAGGGAATCTGCCTCAAAGTAGACAACAGACAAGTTCGTGCCATTTTCTACTGAAGACCACATTTTTATTGTGGTACATTTGACTAAGAGATGCAGGGAATCCAAGCTCCCACAAATGTTGTCTGTTGTCTCTAACGAAGCCCTTCCTCAGGAAAGCAAAGCCCACCCCTCACAGCTCTCTTCCAACGAGGGGTTTCCCCTGGCATATAATGAAACCATCCAAGATAAATCAAAGATCACTTTGTGCAATGACCGGTTATTGCTTTCAAATTAGGCAGAAAACAGGGATGTGCTCACTGAAGGTCTCCGTCCCCATGCAAACGCACCTCTTGTAGGGGATTCCCTGTGGATGGTGCTGTCCTCCAGGGGCTTTTCAGGGTCACACTGTGCTGATGGCAAGGTCCAGCCTGTTGCAGAAGTCTTAACTGAGATCCATAATCCCTTAAAAGAGTGTAGGTTGTGAGTATCTAATCCAAATGTGTAGCATATTCCCAGCAGGTAATTACCAGCAGCTCGGTGGTAGAGTGGACAGAGTTCTGGACCCAGAGTCAGAAAGACCTGAGTTCAAATCTGGCCTCAGACACTTACTAGCAGTGTGACCCTGGGCAAGTCTTCTAACTTCAGCCTGTCTCAGTTTCCCCATCTGTAAAATGGGGATGATGATAGTAGGATTTACCTCCTGGGGTTGCTGTGAGGATCAAATGAGATATCTGTAAAGCACTTAGCACGGTGCATGCCACGTAGTGTTTAATAAATGTTTATTTCCTTCCTTCCCGTTTCTATGCAGAAGATTGTGCCAGGGCCCAGAGGAGACACCAACGTCAAAAGACACAGTCTCTGTCCTCAGGACTAGAAGGGGGATGTGATCTGCGGGTCTAATAACGTTAACAGAAACACGAATGTCTGTGGAATGAATGAACGAGGAAAAAGATGCATTCGGCTGATAAAGTCAGACTTTGATTCCTTCTCTAGCAGAGGGGCTGCTCGGTGAAGGAAAGGTCCTGGGTTATCAACAAAAAGCCCGAGACTCCCAGAGACAGGTGAAAGGTCACCCCGATTCCCAGCAGGGGACAACCCCCTAATTGTCGCATTGTCTTATTCGGGGTGCTTCTCCCCACCCTTACAATGTTTGTCCTGGTTGCTGAGAAGCTCTGATGTTCCCTGAGACCCCAGCAGTGGGGGAGGGACAAGAATATCACCCAAGGGGGGAAGAGGAGTCTTTTAACAAGGATTCCTTAAAAGTACAGTCTGGAGGTGGTTGGGTGTGTGCCAAAGAAATACGAGGCAGCCCAGAAGCTTGGTGGGAAGAGTGTTAAGAGCAGAGGAGATCCCTAATGTGACATGGGATATGTCAATGACCTAGGGAGGGGGAAAGCACACCTAAGGAGGGGCAGGTACAGCTAAAACATGCCAATCTGGAGGGATGATGGGGAGGGGAACCCCCCCCCCCACAAAGGCTACATTACAACAGAGGCCCCAGACCCATCCTCTAGCTGAGTGGTCATTTCCAGAGCCGCATCTGTGGGGAGAGGCGCGATCGACAGCCAGCTAGGCTGCAACACACAAGAGCGCAAGGGCCACTTAATGTGGCTTCCTACAAATGCGGAAGAATTCTGCTCTCCCCCATGGCCCATGGGGGTTTATTTTACGGCAGGTGAATTTCTGTTGTTTCGTCCTTTCAGTCTGTCCAACTCTTCATGACACCATTTAGGGTTTTCTTGGCAAAGATACTGGTGTAGTTTGCCATTTCCTTCTCCGGTTCATTTCACAGGTGAGGAGACTGAGGCAAACAGGGTTAAGTGACCTGCCCAGGGTCACACAGCCAGTTAAGTGTCCGAGGCCGGATTTGACCTCAGGAAGATGGGTCTTCCTGACTCCAGGCCCTGCACTCTGTCCACTGCGCCACCTGGCTGCCCAAGCTGGGATACGTTACCGTGATGCCCAAAGCCTCAGTGGGCTGGAGCAACACAAGACATACTATCCCATTAGACAGTAAGCTCCTTGAGGACAGGGACTGTCTCTTGCCCCTTCTTACGCCCTTAACTCTTAGTGCAGTGGCTGGCACACAGTAGGCACTTAATGCTTATTGACTGACTGCTCAAACTTTGCCAACAGCACACAAGCACCTTCGTCACAGCTGTTTTCTTTTCCACTGTCCAAAAAGAATCCCAAGCAAAAATCACACAATAAAAATAAAAACAAAGGAAAACAGGAAAGAAGCAAATTTAATTTTCTATTAAACCTTTGATCAAAGTCATTATTTACCCCCATCTTAGTAAATTACAAGAAAGTCAAAAAGAAACATTGCATAATTAACATTCACACACCAGAAAAATTAAATCAGGCTACGTAATGAAACGTACATGAAATAGCAAAATTTTGAGGAAGGAACAAATGAAGTTTGCTTAGTGAAGTGAATCCAATAAATTCTGTGCCTCTCAAAGCAATTTTATTGGCTACCTAATTGTGAATAATGGTCAGTTCAAGAATCTAACACACTGATTTCCAAGAAAACCCCCCTCTCGTTACAGGGTTTGATTTTAAAAGAGGTGGCGGAAGTCTCTCTCTATGACCTACTCCTGATCTTTTTCAGTTACACAGAAACAAAGAATTAAGTTCTTTTTTAAAAATTCAAGTTCCATTACAACATTTTAAAAAATATTAAGTAAAAGAGATTAGGTATTCAAGTGTACAACACTAATTACTGCCCAGCTAGTGGTGTTTTGTTTCATCCAGTTCTCCCAAGGAAAACTCTAAAACTGAAATCTCAGCAGAATAATCCTTAAATATATTTTATAAGCAATATGAGACCTTTTGTTTACTGAGTTCTTGGATTTTTCTGCTGTACCCTGTACCTCAATTTAACCCAGACTATAATTACCCCATTAACTTTTCAATGCACAGTTTTTATGTGATTCAGCAAGGCCACAGTAGTATCATCAAGCTCTGTTAATACAGGGCTTAAGAAGGACAAGGCCAGTGATGCCCATGGTCCATACTACTGCCAAGCCATCTCTGGCTAGCTTCAGATTGTAAGGACATAGACACGCATGCATGTGTGTGGGCACACATGTGTGCATGTGTGTGTGTGCATGTGCATGCCCGCACACACCCCACACTCCATACATGTATGTACATAAAGTCTCAATGTTCTGCAGAAGTTGACTCCAAGGTGTTCAGAGTTTCGCTTTGCCAGGCTGCAGCTGGAGGCTCTGTAACTTCATGGCCAGACCCATATTGCCAGTAATTTTCAATTTGCCTTGAAAGTAAGCCTGTAAGAGCAAAGGAAAAAAGCGTTACTTTATGTTGTTCTCAGGCTCCGCGGCTTCTGACGTTTCCTGGATCAGCTGCTTAGCCAGGGTATCTGAAATCCTTCAAACACTGGGCTCAGCTAATGGGAAGCTAGGCTCAATTTCTTTCCTTCACAAAGCTTCAAGGAGAACCAAATTCCTCAAAAGCCACAGACCTTCTGAGCGACCAGAAGAGACTCCTTCTGAGGTGAGTCCAAAGGGTGACAAGGAGAGCCGGGGCTGGAGCCTATCGGTAGTTAGCCCAGAGGAGGAAGATTGAGAGAGAGCAGGATTATCGTGTCCTCAAGGACTTGGAGGGCTGTGTGAAGAGGAGGGTAAGCCTCTTTCTGCCTGGCTCTCAGCGCAGAACCAGGAGCCAGGGGTAGAAATGAAAGAGAGGCAGACTCAGCTCAACATAAAGACAAATGTCCGGGGGCAGCTAGGTGGCACAGTGGATAGAGCACCAGCCCTGGAGTCAGGAGAACCTGAGTTCAAATCTGGCCTCAGATACTTGACACTTACTGTGTGACCCTGGGCAAGTCACTTCACCCCACTGCCTTGCAAAAAAAAAAAAAGAAAAACAAAGAAAAACGTCCACTCAGATCTGTCCAGAAATAAACATGACCTAAACTGCCTTGTGGTAGCATGGCACTTCAAAACCTGAGGGAAGATCCTGATTTCACTGGAGGTGCACACCCTCCACCAATGCAGACTGCCATCCCTTTCCGTCTTCTTGGACAGTCTTCAGGAGTTGTGAGGTCAGCCCCTCAGTGCAGGACCTCTCTAAATGAAGCTATGCTGGACAGACCTTGGGTAAGAGGCATCTTGTCCGAGCTCAGGTCCAGAGCTTGGGCTCCAGCGGAATGACCTTAGAGCCCAGGGTCAAGTACAAGGAAGACCTTAGCGGAGGTACATCACACTAATGCAGACGCTCAGACAGGCTTTACATGTAGCGAGGGGCAGTCAGGCCTCATGGGCTGAGCTTGTACACCAGCTGCAGGACCTAACCTCCCCTGGATGCAGTTTTCTCATCTCTAATGCAAAGAATATTTCTAGTACTTACAGCTGATTGTGAGAGGCAAATGGGAAAATGTATGTGAAGCACTTTGCAAACCTTAAATACTATGTAAATAAAGTCAGTTATTACTATGTTATTTAAAACTCAGAATGGTCCTGTGAGGCATGCTCTACAGGCATAAGGAAAGGAGCAGAGAGGTCAATGAGGCCAACCCTCTTCTTTCAACAGATGAGGAAACTGGAGCCCAGGAGGTGATGGGACTCACCCAAAGTCTCTCTCTCTCACACACACACACACACACACACACACACACGCACGCACGCACGCACACACATGCACTCGAGCACAGAGCAAATAAGAGGGCCCGGATTTGACCTGAGTCTTCTCAAATGGAGCTTTCCACTAACCATCACTGGGAGGTGTTTAGGCAGGTGCTGGACAAGCACGGAACAGTAAGATTTACGAGATCGAAGTAGCCCAGCTGAACCCCTCACTTCACAGATGAGAAAAAGGAGGCCCAGAAAGGTCCCTGGCCAAGGTCGCCCAGGCAGCCTCAAAGCCAGTGCTTGCATTCTCCGGGTGGGTCTGACTAGATGCCTTCAGAGCTTCCTCCAAACTCTGTTCTCCTGCTGTCCTGAAGAGCAGGCAAGAGAACTTTCCCCACCTCCCTTTTCTTGGAAACCGGTTCCTGCTGGATGCCCCACAAAGAGGACTCAAATCTGCAACATTTGGCAGAGCAGCCTGGCCTTAAATTTTCTTTAAAATTACTGCCCAGGGACTTCGTGTATAGGATTAAGTTTACTATAGTTTTTCTTTTTAGAAAAGCACCAACCAGAACATATTCATAAGCCCTTGGAAGGCAGCACAGCGTGGATTAAATATCACCCAACTCTTGGGCTGCCTGACAAAGGACTTCTCCCCACAGAAGGAGGCCCGCCAATTCGGGGGCACTCCTGTTACTGCTTGGCTCCATGAGGAAAGTCAATCCAATCTGTACTGGGAAGCCATTTTAACAACTACTAAATTTATCATGTAATAAAATCCCAGGAAAACTCAGGAGAAATGGCAGAACTGGGAACACAACACATTGGATGTTTTTGATGCTTCAATACTTTTAAATTCAGAAATGGTTGGATGAAAAGTGCCAGGAGGTCTCCACTTTTTCAGCAAGGAAATAAAAAAGGCACAGCCTCTGTATGCATCACACTGGAGAATGTAAAGAACGCTGGCTTTCCCTGGGCTGCCTGGGAAGGATGACTAATTCCTTTTTTCCTCTGTCTGGACAAAGTAAATGTTTCCTTTCTATATGGACCACAGCCTCCTGCCCAGAGGTTTAAAGCTTAGGGGCTTCAAAGTACAATTTATTTAACATATGTCTTCTTAAAAAGAGCGTGCTGATGGGACACCCACTGAAACCCCCCTCTCTAGTCACTAAGTCAAGCAGAACGAGTCTGTGCTTAGAACAATGCCTCCTGAATCAGGCTGAATTGTATGAAAGCTGGACATGAAGCTGGCATGACCAGTTCTTTCTGGACAGTTTTGCAGCTGCGTGGGGTCCTCCCAATGAGGAGCTTCCTCCGTGATGCAGACGAGTGCTGCCTGTGAACCTGAGAGGCATGCCCAGTGCCACGACAGGGTCAGAAGCAAGATTCGAACCCTGGTCTTTCTGACTCTGAGACTGGCTCTCCAGCCACTGGGCCAAACTGCTCTCCAGTAGGAATACAAACGTGAGTCATTCCTAAGGTTAGCGGCTAGCATGGCTCTTGATGACCATTTAGTCCAAACCTCTCAGAAGTCAAATGACTTGCCCAAGGTCACACGGCTGGCGCATGCCAGAGCCAGAATCTGAGCCCTGGCATCCTGGCTCCAAATTCAGAGCTCTTCCCACATCACCCTGCCTGCCTCAGGTCCTGCTCCAGGTATTCTTTATGGGATTTTTCTGTTGGCAGTAGAAAAAAACAGAACCAAAGAGTTAGATAATTCTAAATGCTCAACTGTCCTCTGCATTCTGTGTTTTCTGCTGTGCCCGGTGGAAGTACACAAACACGTAATAGCCACCTGCCTTTTCTCTCTGTAACAACCACCACCAGCATTTCTATAGAACCTTCAGATCTGCACAGCACTTGGCACACTTTGTGTTCTTTGGGCCTCACAGCACCCTTGAGGGACAGGAGCCATTATCTCCCCTATTTTGCAGATGAAGAAACTGAGGCAGGCAGAAGTTAGATCACCACACAGCCAGTAAGTGTCTGAGGCCAGATGTGAGCTCAGGCATTCCTGACTCTCCTCTTGTGACGATGAGCAGCCTTTACTTGGTAACACCAAGTGGTCCGAGGAAAGGAGCTGCCCCCAAAGCCACCACCCACCTGGCTGAGTGGTCTGGGCTGGGTCAGGCCCCGAGGCGCCTAGCAGGGCCTGCGGTGGGGGCCTCTGACCAATCCCCGCCACGGCTATGGCGGGGCAGGGCTGCGGGGGGACACCAAAGAGAAACCTCTCGCTGGTGCCGATACCCAAACCCGCCAGCTCCTCGAATCGAATGTATGGAAAGAGAGGTAACACAGGAAGCCAAGCGGAGGGTAATGAGGAGCACAAAGGGCTTCGAGTCCACGGGGATTGGACAAAGAAGCAGGCACATTTAGCCTGGCGAAGACTAAAGGGTCCAAACAACAGCCGCCATGCGGGGGCAGGGCTGCCCTGAGAGCAGAAAGAGCCCGATAGGAAGGAGCCGTGGGCTCAAGCCAGGACAATCTCTGACGCAATGCATGACGTCCCCTCGTGTCCAGGCTGCCTCTGGAGGTGGTGGCTTCAAGAAGAGAGGCGGTGACCCCTTCTTGGGGACTTCAGGCACGGCCCCTTCTCTCTCTGAAGAGCTGGCTCAGCCCACCAGCAGAGGGCTCCAAGTTTCCTCCTCCACTCCACCCTCAGAGCTGGCAATGAAGGTAATATCCCCACTCTACAGATAATGAAACAGGTTCTGGGAAGGAGTCATCTGCCCACCCTGACACAGCTACTAAGTGTTGGGCCCAAGAGTCTAACCGGGTCTCCCAATTCCAAGCCCAACACTCCTTCACTTGTCCCCTCTCCCCCTCCCATGGCACACTGGTCCAAGCCTAAAACACATCAGGCTCTGGGCAGGCAAACATTTTCATTTAAGCTGAAAGACGTCTCAAAGCTCTAATACTGATGTGTCATTTGGAGGCAGCTTGCTAGTGCAGTGGGTAGAGCAGCAGGCCTGGAGTCAGGAAGACTCATCTTCACAAGTTAAATTCAGCCTCGGACACCTCCTAGCTGTGTGACCCTGGGCAAGTCACTGAATTTCTCTGTGCCTCAGTCTAAGAACAGGACCTACTTTGCCCGGGGTTGCTGGGAGGACCAAAGGAGGTAATCTGTGGAAGTCACTTGGCAAACCTGAAAGCCTTACAGCCACGCTGGTCATTATTATGGCCACTGCTATTACTTACATCATGGGACGTTTCAATTCTGTGGAATTTACAAGTAAGAGAGAGCTCTGATGAGTTTTTAAATCCTCACAGAGCACAGCAGGAGAGTCAAGAGCATGGGCTGAAGTCCCAACTTCCAACTCCCTGGCCCTGTGACCTTTCAGGAGAACTCTTTCCCCTCCCCGGCCCTCAGTTTCCTCATCTGTGAAATGGAGGGGTAAGTGAGGCAACCTCTACGGGCAGCTGCTGATGAGGCACTGAGGCCGTCCTTTTCTAACCTTTCTTTCTCTAGGGCGCTTACCGACTGAGGATTCATCTTGCCGGTCATTAAATCCAGTAGGTCAGTGTCAGCCATGGTAATTGTGCAGTCAGCCTTCTTCTCTAGAATGGACACAGGAGGGGGAAGAAAGGAGGAAAGTAAGCACGGAGACAAGCTGTATCAAAGGCTCAGGAGCCAGAGCTCTCACTGAGAAAGCCACCAGCCCAAACACCCCCAAGGTAGCTACAGGAAGAGGACGGGGAGAGGAAAATCCTTCTCGTCTTCCCAGTCCCACAGAAGCCTGACAGCCCACATCAACAGACGTGAACACAGAAGGCTCAAGGCCAGTCCCCAACAGAAGCGCTCAAAGGATCCGAAGAAACACTTTGCAAACACCCCCCGGAAAAGCGCTCCAAGTCACGCACCAGAGGTTCCACGATATCCTACCCTGCAAACTGGCAAAGAGGAGAGGCACGGTCTAGCTGGCGGGGACCCAGGCAGCCCTTGTACCACTGGCCCAGCTGCTGGCCAGGCCGGCCAGAGCGGCAAACCATGTGGAACTTCCCCTTCGTGATCTCAGGACGAGGGAGAGAGGAAAGTTCCACAGATACCAAAGTATTCACAGCAGCATTTTCTGTAGCAGCAAAACACTAGGAATAAAGTGGGTGCCCACCAACTGGGAGGGCTGCACCAGCTGTGGCCGTGGCACCGTGAAGGTCCATCAGCAATGACAGACCCAGCAAGACTGATGTGCGGCTGGCTCCCGCGCGGGGAGAGGTGTGGGAAGCCAAGCGACAGGCCCCCCCATGCTCACCACAACGTCATCACGCAGCAGCAGGGAGCCAGCTGCCCCCTGGCTGGGATGACTAGTGGTGGGGCACGTGGCCTCCTGGCTGCGCAAAGGCAGTCACCCCTGCCCCAGACTTCAGGGGCAAGGCAATCCCCGCCCCTAAGGTAGGGTGCACACGGTGGCCAGCCCCTGAAAAAGCATGCAGGATGCTCAGCACCGCTCAGTAAAACCATCCAGGAATCCTACATGTGTAATCACGGAGGGCTTCCCGGGGATGGACGGGCTGTCAGTGCACATCGGATGGCAAAGTGAGACAGGGATTCTCGGGAGATGGAGAGAAGGTATGGAAGGCCTGTCACACAGGGTGGAAAGACATCTAAGTCACCTAACAAATCCCCCACCTGCAGTGCAGAGAGCCTGAGGGTATGTAAGCAAACACCGCCATGAATAAATAATCCATTAATACTAAAGACTCCAGGGTTGGAACAGAAACCACCTCTCCAACACCAGTCCAAGTTAGGACGTGCTAGGAGCACTCGAATGCCGGTGCCCGCTAACAAACGGCCAGTTGTTGGCCACACAAAAGGTGCAGGCATGGCCCCAACTCCCAAGGGGCACGTGCAGATTTCTTGTGCGATTCCAGGGGCTGGCAAGCAGTGGTTTCAGCAGATTATCCTTCCCTGTGGGGGAGAAAGCTCTGGCCTGGAGGGGGCAGCCTGATGGGGAGGGCTGAAGCTGACACCAGTGCCCGGGGCAATACAAAAGCTGTTCCATGTCCTTCCACAAGCCAGGCTCCTCACGGTTAACTTTTTCTGAAGAAGGAAGAGGGGGTACAGTCAGTAGCCTTTTTACTGGACCTGGACCTTTCACTCAGAACCCCTGAGTCTGAGCCCCAGCTCCATCACTGGACTCACGGGGCACCCCTGGAGAGGATCTGTCACTGACCCTGCCAACCGCCACAGAAGCACTTTTATTCTCTCCTTTTCCAGTGGTTCCTTCCCATTTGCCTGGAAATAGACTCCTGTCCCCTGAAAAACACATCCCCTCAACTCCACTTGTCCTGGAGAAACACAGGTCCTGCTGTCCTCTGCCATCACAGGCATGAGGCCAGACCAGCCTGCGGTCACCATTGCTGCTTTCTACCCTTGCTCTGTCAGAGGCCTCTGAATCCACTTCTGGCCTTGCCCCCACAGCAGTGGAGGGTCTACATCCTGATCACACCCTGAACAAGATGCTCTGACAAGGACATCCTGGTTCTGCACGACCACCTCACCTCCTCCTCTAACAATCACTCCTTCTTAGCCAAAGCGCCTGCCCCACCGGTGTCCCAGGCGCCCTCCTTGCTACGGTCCCCTCCCCTGGCCTGCTCTTCTCCTACTCCTCTGACAACTCTCCTTTCACCTCCTTCCACAGGACCCGATGAGTAAAGACCCAGAGTTGTCAGAGTATTGGGCACATTCTGGGAATGACGAGCTCTCTTCTACATCCTATGTTACTCCCATCTTAGTCGAACACAGTAGGCACAAGGTAAATAGTTGCATGAACAGGAAATAAGAAGAGAAAATGTGGGGAGACATCTTTCCTGGAACTCACTGGGAAAAACGCCTAAAAAAAAAGAAACTGTATTACCCTGGTACAGTGGAGTAAGTCCTCAAGCATTTGTTTCAATTAGATCCCCAAAGTCTGAAAGACAAGGTGGTAGTCTCTCCACAGAACAACGAGGCTGTGTCCCGAGTACTGGACCACAGGAGACCCTGAGGCAACCCCCTGCTCAGACACTGAATGGCCAAAGGTCACTTAACTCCTTCAACCCTCAATTTTTAAGCTTGTAAAAGAAGGATAATTACTCTTAACCCAGGGATGTCTGAGGAAATTGTTTTGTAAGCCTTTAAATGCTAAAAATGTATACGTGTCTGTCAGCAGCTAGGTGGTGCCAAAGTGCACAGAACGCCTGGCCTGGAGTCTGGAAGACTCATCTTCCTGAGTTCAAATCTGACCTCAGACACTTAGCTATGTGACCTGGGCAAGTTACTGAACCCCGTTTGCCTCAGCTTCTTCATCTGTAAAATGATGTGGAGAAAATAATGGCAAACCACTCCACAATCTCTGCCAAGAAAATCCCAAATGGGGTCACAAAGAGTTGGACACAACTGAAATGATTCCATATGTGAGTGTGAGTTACATGCATTTCAGAGTGAGTGAGAGAGACAGAGAAAGAGAGAGAGAGTGTGTGTGTGTGTGTGAGAGTGTGTGTGAGTGAGTGTGTGTGTGTGTGTGTGTGTGTGGTGTAAGAGAGAAAGTGTTACTGTATCAGCCATCTGCTCTGCTCTACGAGGCATAAAGGATCCTGCTTCATTGCCAGTTTTTCTCATTATTTTCCCAGATAACAGTCTTCTCTAATGCCCCACCAATCAGAGTTACTCATTCCCAAGATCAGGGCCATCTGGCACAACTCTCCCAGGCTGCGCCTTCTTTCCCCTCAGGCAGAGACAGCCATCAGAAGACCTGAGGGTTTCAGGGGAAAAGGAAGGTGGAGACCCACTCTGGCATGCTGGTGACCACGGGCAGGAAGCGGGCCCTGCACACACTCTACAAAGCAGTCTCACATCTGGGTCTCTGGCCCTCCCCTCTCCGAGGCACCAGCCCAGTGTAAGCCTCCAACCCTCTCACCTGGCCCCCACCCCGCCTCCCTTCCTCCCATGCTCCACAGAGCGGCCAATGGCATGTCCTGGGAACACAATTCTGACCTCCCCAGCTCCCAGCCCAGGAACCTTGCAGGGCTCCCAAATTCCGTCTGCTCCTGCCCCTCCAGGCCCTCTAAATTCCCTCCATGCTGGTGTACTTGCTGTTCCACACAGCTGACCTCCATCTCCCCTCTCCAAGCCTTTGCACGGCCGGGACTGCCCTCCCCTCCTCAGCCTCCGTCACAGAATCTCACATTCCCTTCCAGGCTCAGCTCCCTTCCCAGGGTCTGGCACCTGCTTGGGGCATCGGCCTGAGTACAAGCTGTTTCCCCCAAGAGACTCTCAAGCTCCTTTCCAGTACACCATTCTGTCTCATCTTCTACCTGTAGTGCCCAAGCTCGGAGCCAGGAACATGGGGGTCATAGGAGGGGTTTAATTAAAGCTTGCCACAAGAATCTTCCCAGAGCCTGGGAGGCAGCCGTGGTGGAACTTACTACACCCCATGCAGGAATAGCGAAGGAAGCTGAGGAAAAGGGTGTCCCCGCCCCAAGGGCCTATGATCAACTGGAGGCAGAGAAGGGAGAATTCAGGCCTGATAAAGCCCGGGTCTGGCCAAGAGGAGCTCCTGTCCCTGTGCTCTGGCCTCACCCCAGGGCCACATGCGAGGCCAGTCAAAGAGCCACTGCCCGGTTCTGCTTAGTACCCAGCATTCACTCCTGGCCATGGTAAGCAGCTTTTCTGGGCGAGGCACTTGGGCCTGATGCTCCGAAGGGATGAAGGAGGCCTGCCCCTGCCCTCCCAGAGCTTACCACATAGCAGAGTCTGCAGCTGCCCCAGAGCACAGTGGGAGCGCAGCTGCAGAGACTGACCTGAATTAGCAGCCACGGAGCCTTTGCCATTTTTCACATCCACTACCCAGGTGGCTTCCTTCCCGCCAGGACCGTCTTTCACCTTGAAGGCAAAAACACCCCCGATTTTCTTCACGTACTGTTCTCCGTCCTATAAATGAGGAGAAAAATCAGAGTTACAGGTATTGATGTTGATGGAGCCCCGCAGGCTCCTTGGGGACCGTCCTTCAGGACAGCTTCCCACCATTGCGGGGACAAAAGCCACAGGAAACTCATGAGGGGAGCACTCAGGCTTTTCGGACTGAACTTATTTTTGTATCAATTATGAAAACCAAACAAAGAGAGCAGACTGGTCTCTGAGCTTCTGCTCACACAACACTCACACCATCTCCATCTGTCAGATCATAAGGTTGCTGAGAGGTGGCCACGCTGCGCCAAAGCTCCCAATGATCACCAATCCAACAGGCTCTGAGGAAGGCACCACGAAAATGAAGCCCAAACAAATCCAGCCCTTTGGGCCTCAGACAGTGAGAGTCCTTCAGCATCTGGGAGGCAATGTCCTCTGACCAGGGCGGCTCCTCTGAGCCATGGCCAACAAGCCACTCTCCAGCCTCTGCCTGAAGCTGTCCGGGCCCAAGGGGCCCCCTCCTTCCAGGGGAGCCCCCACCCACTCCTGGGGAGCCCAGGCTGCACCTCCTCTCCTGCACCAAAGCACCCTCCTCCTTTAAGGCCCCTCCCATGCACCGCCAGGATTCCCTCAAGCTCATAAACTGTCTGCCCATCACTGTGAGCCAACTGGAGCGTTAAGTGTCTTCAAAGCACATGTCATATTCACATTCTTCTGCTTCGACCCCAAAGACAGAACCAGAACCAACAGGTAGAAATCCCAGGGGCACATTCCAGATTCCCTCCTGCCCACGCTGGACACACAGGACATGCCCAGGCTGTTGGTCAGGCCTCTCCCAACACCACAGCCCTGGGTCACTGAACGGTGCTACACTGGAGGAGGCTGGGTGGGAAGGAAACGAGAACAGAGAAAAGAAAGTATTGGGTTGCAGAAAGAAAACCCCGCTCCCATCTCAAGGCCTGCTCTCGCATGCCGAGGAGCAGCCAGGCTCCCGCACCGATGGGCTGCCCCACACACTGACTCAGCAAAAAGACTCACAACCAAATTCCAAGCAGAGGTATAGAGGGCTATGCCAACCAGGACAAAGGGGCTTCCTTTGCTATTTCACAGTAAGTGTTAGGTTCCCAAAGGTCCTGGGCTTTCGCTTTCTCCCGCTAACAGGAGGAACAAGGAAAAACTGAAAATCGTGGGAAGAACTTACTAAGCGGGAAAGGCCCATGGAGCTGGGGCCTCGGGCCAAAGAATGAAAGAAGCAAACCCTCGCGGTGCTTCTGGGGCAAGACAAAAGACCCGATGCTATGCAATCCCAATTGAGAGGCCACTGGACAGGCCTGCCATACTTTGGTGGGGACCGCAGGCCCTCCCCAACTCTTCAAATAACCCCAAGAGCAGAAGGAGAGTCTGAGCAACAGAGAGGAAGTTCCGTGTCCTGGCTCACAAGGCCACTGAGTGCCAAAGGCAGCATCTCTCCACCACGCCACGCTACCTCTACATCTCCATGATAATCATTAGGGACACTTTTAATTATTAACAAATCAGATTCCTGAGTCGCCTTAAAGCTCTTTCCTCCAAAAAGCCTGTGAAGGAGGCAGCGATGCTCTACTGACCTCCATCTCCAGAGCCCCTGAGAGCAGCAGACAGGCACCAGGGGGCGGCTGAGTCACAACTGAGCCCCCCCGTGCCTCCCAGCTGGTGCTTAGGGCAGTCTCACAAAACCTCCCATCTAAGTGGTCTCTCTGGAGTCGACTGGGCAGCATGTCAGCACTCCTTAGCCAAGACAGAAAAAAAAGCAAAAGAACACGAGAATTTTAGAAAAACCTGATTTTGCATCAAAATGGAGGCTCTTTAACAAACCTCGATTTTCTTGAGGAAGTTTAAGAAGTTTTGTTTAAAGCTTCATGGACGGTGACTCCCATAGCTTAGACCCCAAGACACACGAGAACTGGCTGAGGGAATGGGAATGGGGACCCTTTAGCTTGGGGAAAAGAAGCCATGAGTGAGGATGGGACAGTCATCTTCAAGTCTATCAAAGTCTGTAAGGTGAACAAAGGGCCAGCTGGCTTCTGCTTGGCCCCTTGGCAAAACGAGGCAAAAGGGATGGGAAATCCAGAAGCAAAGACTTCCTAACAAGAACCATCCCAAAGTGAAACAGGCTGCCTCGAGAGATAGTGGGGTCCCAACGGCTAGAAGATGTCTTCACCAGGAGGCTGACGATCAACTGTCAAAAGGTGGAAGAGAGGTTATACTGGATGGCACCTGGGGGCCCTTGGAACTCGCGATTCTGTGAAAACCTACTTCTCCCATAAAACATCACTGGCAGAATCTTAAATGGCCTCCTGGACTGATCCAGCATGATATTTCTTATGTTCTAACTTTTTAAAATACAGGGGTTTTTCCAATTCACTTACAAGTTGAGTCACAAAAACTTAAAAATAAATTCTAGGGATTTAAAATAACTCTGTGGCCTTGGAGAGGTTCCTTCACCCTTTGGGCTCCTCACCTATAGAATGAGGGTGGCTAGACTGGTTAATATTCAGCCAGATATTCAGATATTTTCACTGTGGCCTATGGTGATCCCACTAGAAAATATTACAAAGGAATTGAGAAGGGAAGAAGAGAATGGATGCAGGGCCCTGATTCTTTTACCTAAAAAGGTGGACCGCTTTCCCACATACACCCAAAGGTCAAGTTAAATAAATTATTCAAGACAGCTGTCTAAGTAACAGAAAAAGAATGGACTCAAGACTTCTTTAGAGAGGGGTAATGAAAAAAAATCAAGCAAAACAGACACATTTTATTCAAGACTTAAAATGCGCATTAGAAAAAAAGGTCTGTTCTGACAGAAGTGTCATTTTGAGTATTCCCAAAATACAGTACACACAAGCCAGGTATATAAAACTTGTTCCAAAGCACTGACTTATGCTCTAAAAATCCACCCATGTTCGTCACCAGCTAACATGACACCTGGTCATTTCTCTTAAATGCAGAGACAATCAAGAAGGCCCACAGGGCTTGTTTGCTCCCTTCCCCATTCCCCATGGTGACTGACCACATTCCACTGGATTTCATTACAGAAGCCAGGCCTGGATACCTGGGCATTTATCAAACGCCTTTTGCTAGAATCATTCATTGATAGGAGACTGAGAAATGGAAAGCGTCTGCAGTACCTGGGATCACAGGAGTGATCGAGAGCCCAGATCACACAAACAGCAAAGGCAGGATTCGCCCTGAGGGTCTCAGACTCCACAGCTAAGGCTCTTCCCAGCATTCTCAATCCAGATCATCTCATGACTGTATCTGAATCATGAATCTCTCTTCCTTTCCCTTGGGCCCTATCCCTTATCCCACATTCTTCTAGACAAAGATGAAAAAGGTTACTGACCTCTTCAAGCTTCTTCTCAATCTCTTTAAAGACAAGATGTGCCTTAAATCCATCAAGTGCTGAACTGGTAGGAAAAGCTTCAATCTGATGACTTCTGGAAGAATGGAACAAAACCAGTCAGTTTACGTAACACTCAAATCGACAAGCACAATTAAGCATTCCTATGTGCCGGGCACTATGACAGGCAATGGGGACCCAAAAACAAAACCAAAACAATCCCTGCCTTCAGAGGCTCATGGTCTCCCAGGAGAGACAGGTACACATCTAGGTACACACAGAGTAAAACAAAATAAAGAGATGCGCGGCAGTTAGGGAGGGCAGGTGTCAGCAGTCAGGGCAGGGCCCAGGTAAGGCTTTGGGTCCAAAGGGGTGCTTGGGTGGTATCTGCGTGGAGGACAGCCAGGGAAGGTAAGAGCTGGTTTAGAAAGATGAAGTTGCACAGGGAGCCAAGCTGTCAAAAGCCTGGGGCCACTAGAGTGACATGAGGGAGCATCATGGGCTGCAGAGGACCCGGGAACTGGAGTGCTAAGTGAAGAAAAATAAAAGTTACAATTCTACCTCAGACCCTTAGCCATTACATGCTTCAATTTCCTCATCTATTAAATACGGTGTTGGTGGGGGCAGCTAGGTGGTGCAGCGGATAGGCCCTAGAGTCAGGAAGACCTGAGTTCAAATCCAGCCTCAGACACTCGACACTTACGAGTTGTGGGACCTTGGGCAAGTCACTTTACCCTGACTGCCTCATCAGAAAGCAAAAAAAAAAAAAATCTCCAAAAGTGTCATGCTGGAAAGTGCTATCCACATCCAAAGAAAGAACTATGGAGTTTGAATGCAGATGGAAGCATACTATTTGTCTTTTTTTCTTCTGTTTTGTTTTGTTTCCTCTTTCCTGTGGTTCCTCTTGTTGGTTCTAATTCTTCCTTATAACATCACTAATGTGAAAATAGGTCTAATAGGAATGTGTATGTATAGCCTATATCAGATTGCGTGCCATCTTGGGAAGGGAGGGGGTGAAAAATTTAAAACTCAGATGCTTATGGAAGCAATTGTTGATAAATCAAAATAAATCAATAAAAAAATTTTTAAAAAGATGTCTTGAGAGGGGGAACATGAGAGTTGGCAAGTGACTGGACACATGGGGTGAAGCTGGGCTCGGGCCTCACTGCAGACCTGGGGGACTCTACAGAAGCTGACATCCTCAGTAACAGGAAGCTCAGCAGAGAGGAGGGGAGAGCTGGGGGAAAGAGACCGAGGTCTGTTTTGGCCATGTTGGATTTGAGAGGCTTCCAGGCAACCCAGCAGAAGTAACGCTGAGGACAATGCCTTCTAGCTGTGCTTGGCCCAGACTAAGATTCGTCAGTATGTGAAACTCCCACAGAACCACAGACTGTTAGGGCTGGAATAGAGCTCCGCAGCCATCTAGGTCAGCCCTTTACACCTACACAAACTTGAAGTCCTCCCATAACAGGCAGCCTACCGCTTACCAAAGCGACCCCTTCTAACCTTGAGGCAGCTGACTGTGACCTTCTGTTTCCTTATATCTAGCTGAAATGTGACCCTTGGGGGCTTCCACCTGGCTCTGCTCCTGGCCCTGCCTGGCTGGGGGCATTGGGTCCCTTCAAGGCAGGCGGTAACTAATCAACTGACATTTCTCCAGGCCCTGCTATGCACCAGGAACTGTGCTGAGGCCTCAGAGGAGCCTGGGCCCTGAAGGATCCTTCTAAGCCTCCTGTCTTTAATCAAACCCAAATGAACACTGTTCCGGCAAGGCTTCCAAGCAGCACAGCCCTTTGCTCATTTCATTTTGTTCCCTTTTCAACAGAATAAAAAAACTCCCAAAACTCATCATCTTTTCAGTCATGATTTGAAATGTTTGGACACCATTATGAAGTCTCTTCTCAACTTCTCTTTCCTGTGACCTTTTCTGGACTGGGAGGCAAAGACGCTGAGCTGCAATACTTCACTTCTCCCCCTACCCCTCCAGGCCTGTTTCCTTATCTTTAAAAAGCCAAGGTTGGACTAAAATACCTCCAAGGTACTTTACCTCCTAATCAACTCTGCCCCTTCTCCAAAATCACAAAGAATTACAGAAGTTTACAGCTGGAAAGAACCTTAAAGATCATCTAGGCCAATGCTCTCATTTGTATAGATAGGGAAGCTGAGGCAGAGAGAGATCTGACTTGCCCACCGTCATGCAAGCTGGCTGCCTGCAGCTCTTTCGCACTCTCCTTCCCATAAGAACACTTCCTATGCCAACACCAGTGAACTGGCCTGTGTGTCCTCAGCAGCCCACACCCTCTTATTGCCTCAGTTACATAGTAAGGTCAGTTTATGTTGCTTTAAATGGCTTCCCTGTGAATGATTTATAAATCTGATGAGTTGGCTTTCTGCTCTATCACCTCTATCACTGACAAAATTGTCAAAGGACCAAACCTCCCAAGGCTATATCATTACTTGAGAATTCTGTCTCTCTAGGTAGGAGCCTGGAGTCAGATGGTACCTTCAGAGGTCATGCAGTCCAACCCCTCCCAGGATCCCACTGACATCCCTAATGGGCAGCCAGCCAAACTCTGCCTCGGCACATCCAGCAGCTGGGAACTCCCTACCAGGGAGGGAAGAGTCCATTCCACCAACCATTAGGAGGTCCCTGTTGTGTCAGGCAACTTTCACCCACTGTACCTATCTCTGGAGATAAGCAGAACAAAGCTAATCTCTCTTCCACAACAGCCTTTCAAATATTTAAAGGCCTTGATCATAGGCATTATTGACCCTATGTATTACTGACATCTTATTTCAAATGTGATTCACTTACAAAGAAAATCAATGTATCAATGTTTATGAAGTATTAAAAAAGCCCAAATGATAGAATATAATGGTCCACATAAAAGGATTTGCCTCAGGGTTCCCTTAGACGGCAGGCCACCCTATTCATTTATGACCGGATCCAGTTTTTAAAGCTTGCAATAGCACATTAATTTCTGAGAGCGGCAGGGCTCCAGTTCCACCCGCCTCCAAGTCCACGCTTTTCTCTGTGGTGGGGGCACTAGAGGCGTACTCACAGCGCCCCACCTGTTACCAGTTTTTTCTGATTCACACTGTTCGCTAAGGGATCGATCTACAGAAGGCAAGGTTCTACACAGAGGCCTTGGGGAGACACTCCCCATCACCGCCAAAGTCACACGCTCCAAAAAAGCACAAACCCAGAAAATTACAAGCCAAGAGACAGATGAAAATCCAAGAGAAACTTCTTTCTACCGGGACCAGGGCCCTGACCATGGCCACGCTGCTGCCAACTACCACCCAGAAAACTTCCTCAAACAGTTAATCAAACAAGGCACTGGGTGTGATTTCCTCCTTTGCTTCTGAGCACCAGAACGACAAGGAAATACAGCATTGGAACCAGACACCCAGCCCTGACACAGCCAGTCTACAAAGAAGTTGGGTTCCAGGCACATGGGGCAGCCACCAAGATTTCCAATTTAATTATCACACATGCCCCCCATCACAACTGGGGGTCAGGGTGGAACATGGCTCCAAAAACACCCCCTCATCCAATGTGGCTCCTGGCCATGGTCTTCAAGAAAACTTCCATGTGGAGGTTCACCCAGCATGCCTGAGGGATATTACTCAATGTCCTGTCACACATCACGGACTGTTTGCCTCAGTTTCCTCCTCTGTAAAACCCCAGGGTTACTGTGCGGATTAAATGAGATAATATTTGTAACACACTCGGCACACAGTAGGTGCCACATAAATGTTAGTGATTATTACTAGAAAGCCTCCACGTCACTATCTATCTAACCAGGACAGCTCCTTTCCAAGTTGTACAGCTTGGAGGCCTCCTTCTGCCAGCCTTTCCACGAAAAGCGTCAACATGCTGCTGCTGCTGCACCCGCCACAGGGCTTCCCTGGAGACTGCCACACGCCCCAACCCAAACTCATTTTTTCTGAACAGACCTGGGGCTCCATCAGCATAAGAAGAGTGCGTGGGCAGGAATCCCTGCGGCCACTGCAGACAGGCCCCTTTCCTACAGCTAGGCCTCCGAGAGCTGCCTGGGGACCTTCCCAGAGTCACCGGGCTGACACGAGCGAGGCCTTCCCGGGTCTGAGGGCACCTCTGCAACCACGGTCTCTCAGGGCTGGAAAGAGCTCCTGTGGCTTCTCAGAAGGAAGGATCGCCTTTTCTTTTTTTTCGGGGGGGGGTCTTTCAAGAACTCTGGGGTCACTGAAAGCACATGGAATCCTCTGTGTACCACCTGGCCCCGTTCTCACCCCATCTCACCTACACGTCACCGTCCAGATGAGCTGCTGGGCCGCCTTGCATGGCAAGGTCCGCAATCAGCACAACACCATCCACCCCCAGGAGGGCCTGGAGGACCTCACCATGGAGGAGTCCCACTCCCACAAGGAGTCTGGGCTGGACACGCTCCGCTCCTCCACGACAGGCACAAACACCCGTGGGGAGTCTGTGTCGACCCCTGTCATTCCTTGTTTGATACATTCAGAAGTTCATCCCAGGTTTTCTGTTGCAACATCTGCTCATGAAGACCGTAGGTCCTCAACACGAGACATGGAGAGCCTCAAAGGCTGAGCTTTGTTCTACCAAACCAAGTGCTTTTTTATGGACGACAAAAAAATAAATAAGAGTGGGATCTCGACTTCTCTACACCTCAGTCAATTTTGTGACAGAGACAGAATAATGTGTCACACACACAGAGAAAGTATTAGTTTGACCTTAAAACTGCCATGTCGGTTCAGGGACCACAAGCCAGTATTTCCAGGATCTCCGACTTCATCAGTCCAGCTTCGGCCTCCACCAACACGAACTACAGCCCCCTCAGCTTAGGAGATGGCCTTCTGGGGATACTGAGGCTGGAACTTTCATCTCCTAATATGCAGCCTGTGGAGGAGCCTTTCTCCTTGACTGCGTGAGTCCCCTGGACAGGAGGAGTCTGGTGACAGACTTACCTTCCAAGTCTTCCCAGCTTAAAAGACAAGTTCTTTAAGTGATTTTCAGGAACCTAGAGTCACTTCCATACTACGTGGAGACCACAGAGTAGCATGTTTGTGGTAGTGGGGACACGAAGGTGAAAA